GGAAAATGAAAGCTTAGATTAAAAAGAATGCATCACCCTGACTGGTTTGGCTCAGTGGATAGAGTGTTGGCCTACAGACTGAAGGGTCCTAGGTTCGATTCCAGTCAAGAGCATGTACCTTGGTTTCGGGCACATCCCCAATAGGGGGTGTGCAGGAGGCAGCTGATCGATGTTTCTCTTTCATCGATGTTTCTAACTCTCTATCCTTCTCTCTTCCTCTCTGTAAAAAATCAATAAAATATATTTAAAAAAAAGAAGGAGAAGAAAGAAACCCCATACCATTAGCACTTAGACCACATTCTTTCTCCTCTGCCTTTGCAGTTGCTAACCTTTCTATCTATGTATTTGCCTGGTCCAGACATTTCACAGAAATGAAATCATACAACATATAGCCTTTAATGACTGTCTTCTTTCACTTTAGCATATTTTCAAGGTTCATCCATGTTGTTGCATGTATAAGTACTTCATTCCTTTTTTTTTATATATATTTTTATTTCAGAGAGGAAGGGAGAAGGGAGAGAGAGATAGAAACATCAATGATGAGAGAGAATCACCGATTGGTTGCCTCCTGCACGCCTCCCACTGGGGACTGAGCCTGCAACCCGGGCATGTGCCCTTGACTGGAATTGAATCGGGACCCTTCAATTCACAGGCCAATGCTCAGTCTACTGAGCCAAACCAGCTAGGGCTCAGATCATTTTTAAAAATACATTTTTAATGATTTCAGAAAGCAAGGGAGAAGGAGAGAGAGAGATAGAAACATCAATGATGAGAGATAATCATTGATCTGCTGCCTCCTGCACATACCCCACTGAGGATCGAGCCCCCAACCCAGGCATGTGCCCTGACCAGGAATTAAACCAGTGACCCCTTGGTTCATAGGTCGACACTCAACCACTGAGCCATACCTGGCCAGGCTGGACTCAGATCTTGATAAATCCTAATGGCAAGAGGCTTGGTGAGGTTATGACACACATCCAAGGCGGACACAGCTAACGTGGTATACGTGAGACGAAAGTACAGATCTTTCTGACTATAAAAGGCCTCTCGGCTCCTTGTGCGAGTCTCATGTTTTAATATATCTTGTCTTGGAGTTTGGGACCAGCCAGTAGATAGACATATCTTGCCTTGTAGCCTGGCCATGCTTGAGACCCCCCCCGCACCTCACCTCCCACCCCTTTCAGTGCTTAGCTCACAGCCTCTGACATGCATCCATATGCTGGTGTGAGGACCAGCATCTCCAGAAAGCAGATTAAGCAGCCAGCTGCTGGCAGTGATGGAGCCAAACGGCCTCCCCAGACACTGTCAGCTGTAGGCTTCTGTTTCTGTGCACCTCCTTGCCGTCACATAAGGGACCTGTGGTAATCCAAACTTGGGAGGCCAGGAGCCCAGCAAACAGTGGTGAACACCTACAAAGCACACAGCACTACTCAGCACAGCCAGAAGGCAGGCTTCGTTTTAGAGCTGCTCAGCACACCTGTATGCTCAGGACAGCCAAGTGAGACTTAGGTTTTTTAACATTTAATTTAATTAAAAAAATTTTAAACCATGACATTTATTGCGTGACTAACCATTGAAATCCTTAAGATGAACTGGATGCGGCCACTGCTGCCCTCTTGGGTTTAGGTGTCGTTCCTTCATGGAATCTATGCCTGAATGTACGGTACACAATTTTTAGGTGCCTCATGTGACCAGTTCCGGTAGTGTTTCATCATTTAGCCTGGGCGCTCCAGTTATACTTCCTCTTGCATTGACGAGGTAGCCACACTGGCTGTAGGTGGGCTTCTACGGGTGGTAGGCTTCGAGCCACTGTGGTGGCACAGTGTGTGCGTCTTGTTGTGGCACTTGCTGAACGATGACCTTCATCATCTTGCTTCTGCTGCTGAGACCAAAGAGCAAGATGTAGTTTTGTTTTTAATATTTAAATGTATGTTTTGAATATATTCCTCTTATTCAGAATTCAAAAAGTACAAGGTAGTAAACATTGAAGTCTTTTTTTCTTTCTTTTTCTTTTTTTTTGAAGTCTTTTTTTCCATTCATCCATATTCCTCCGGTAGCAGTGTTACCAGTTTATTGTATGTTCTTCCAAAAATCTCTTCATCCAGTTATTTTCCTCTCTTTTTTACATGGATGAAAGTGTACCAGACACACTATTTTGCACCTTTCACAAAGGTGCTCAAGTTCTAAATAATTGTTATTTTTGGTAGAGATTTGTTGTAGTTGAAAAATGTGTATATAACTCAGATTTGAAGACATGGTTTATTTTGATGTCTTAAACCTTGTATTATTGCTATTTTTTATAAAGTTATAGAAAGACAACTACTATGGAGGAGACAAAATTGTGACAGGTATTTGGGATTCAATTTTAGTAATCATTTGTGTTCATAGTAATTTACCGTTTCCTCCCATAGCTTGCCAAGAAATATCACCCAGACACAAATAAGGACGATCCCAAAGCCAAGGAGAAGTTTTCCCAGCTGGCGGAAGCCTATGAGGTAACTCGAACCACCGGTGTGTGCAGTTACTGTCATTCAGCTGCATGTATGCATCAGAGTGTGCTGCACAGGGCAACCTGATGTGTCCCAAGTTCCAGTATGAAGGCTTTGTCCCTGCACCAGCTCATCTTGTTAAAGAAAAAAGAGATTCCCAGATCTCATGCTAGATCTAACTTGGAATCCAAACAAAAAAAAAAGGTCCAGTCTATATTAACAAAGCTTGGACTTGTAGCTGGGTCTGGGAACACCTTGCTGGGTGAATTCTGCACCTATTTGATCACCCCCTCCTACTTAGGGCATTGCTTTCTGGAGGGGATGGTGGATCCTGTAAAAGTAGAAGACCACCACTGCCCTGGAGGAATTTAAAGTGTAATCCAGGACAGAACATGAAACTACTGAACAATTCCGGAGTTCTTTAAACGTGGACTTCTTGCCCTGACCAGTGTTGCTAAGTGGTTAGAGCGTTGGCCTAAGCACTGAAGGGTCTCAGGTTCAATTTCTGGTCAAAGGTACATACCTGGGTTGCAGGTTCAATTCCCAGGCCTAGTCGGGGTGCATGCGGGAGGTAACCAATTGATGTGTCTCTCTCACATTGATGTTTCTCTCCCCCCTTCTACTTTCTCTGAAGAGCAATGGAGAAAATATCCTTAGGTGAGGAATAAATAAATAAATAAATAAATTTTAAAAAGTGGGTCTTCTTCCCAGATTCTGACCATGCAAAAAGAGTTCAGAATATATAGGATATCAGAATATATAGGATATATCTGCTCTCTGTGTATGTACATTGGCCCCCAAACCTTTTGAGAGTAAGTCACAGACTTTGTATCTCTCTATTCCCAAGTATTTCAATATTTTCTAAGAATAAGAACATTCTTTCTCATAACTACAGTATTGTCAAAATCAGAACATTTAATGTTAATAGTGTCATTGTCTGTACTTGGTGTCTGTCCCTGGGTCTCTGGAGACCTGGGAGCACCTAACTACTTGCCTTTTGTGGAAGGTGCTGAGTGATGAAGTGAAGAGGAAGCAATATGATGCCTACGGCTCCACTGGCTTTGATTCTGGGGCTGGTGGCTCTGGGCAGAGCTACTGGAAAGGAGGCCCCACCGTCGACCCAGAGGAGCTCTTCAGGAAGATCTTTGGGGAATTCTCCTCATCTTCCTTTGGAGATTTCCAGAGTGTATTCAGTCAGCCTCAGGAGGTGAGCTCATTTTGAAGAACCATTCAAATTTTAGCTGCTAAGTGTGGTGTAAACAGATTTCATCAGTTTCTGTTTCTCAAAGAAAAGGCAAATCAGCTTAAATGGAATGGTCTGGAGGCAGCCATTTTGATAAGAAATAATTCAAAAATTTAAAAAATCATATAGGTAATGTATATTGTACATTTATTTTGACTTGAGTATTACTGTTGCTTAACCAGGCAGCACCTAAGGCTCTCAGAGTCCATTATTAGGGTATATTTTATCCAGGAGAGCTCAATCTGGTAGGAAGACATTCCCAGTCCCAATTCCATGTTTATGTCCTAATAAGACGTTCTCAGAGTTGAAGAGAAAGGGGGAATGTTTATGACTTAAGTTATGATTGTGGATTATTTGAACTGTTTGTAAGGACTGTATACAAGTATTATTTGTGAACAATTTGTTGAAAAATGCATTTTTACTTAAAACAAACATTACCTCTTTAAAATCCTAAGGAGTAGGGCATAAACAGTTAAGTCCCATCTATTCTTACTTGGCAGAGTACAGATAAGTAGAGCAGTTGCAAAGTAACTAGGGAAGGAAGAGATCAGAGGATTTTTAGGGCAGTGAAAATATTCTCTTTGATCTATAATGATGTATATGCTTGTCATTATGCATTTGTCTAGACCAGTGGTTCTCAACCTTCCTAATGCCACGACCCTTTAATACAGCTCCTCATGTTTGGTGACCCCCAACCATAAAATTATTTTCGTTGCTACTTCATAACTGTAATTTTGCTACAGTTATGAATCGTAATGTAAATATCTGATATGCAGGATCTATTGAGGCGACCCCTGTGAAAGGGTCGTTTGACCCCCCAAAGGGGTCGTGACCCACAGGTTGAGAACCGCTGGTCTAGACCCATATACTAGTAGTGTACAACACCAAGAGTGAACCCTAATGTAAACTGTGGGCTTTGGGTAATTACGATGTGTCATAATTGATTAAAAAATGTACCACTCTAGTGAGTGATGATGATGGGAGAAATTGTACTTAGGTGGGGCAAGGTGTATGTGGGAAATTTCTGTACCTTCTTTTCAATTTTTGTTCTAAAAAATTAAGTCTTTAAAAGTAAAGTAACTGCAAACTGCTGGCTAGTACCCTCCCCTATTTTAAGAAAGATGACAGGCCATCCCTTGATTTCTCTAGTATATCATGGATTTGACATTCAATCAAGCTGCCAAGGGTGTCAACAAGGAGTTCACTGTGAACATCACCGATACCTGTGAGCGGTGCAATGGCAAGGGGAATGAGCCTGGCACCAAGGTGCAGCATTGCCACTACTGCGGTGGCTCCGGCATGGTAAGAGCAAGTTAGAGCTGCCCGCCCCCACCTCCACCCCCCCGCCACCCTCAACCTCCCACCTACTCAGGGGACTCTGACCTCATGCCCATCCATACTTCCCACCATTCCTTTTTTCTATGTTTGAATATTTTTTTGAGCAGTACCTAGGGCTTTGAGAATTCATAACTACATGGGACTGTTTTATCTAGAACCTTTTGTATTTTTCCAAGCATGCTCTGCCTTGGTCAGTAATACAGACAAAGCAAAGAAACTTAGCTTCTTTCTCTAAAAATATGCTTTGGGACATTTTTGTATTTTTTTAAAAACATGTTTTTATTGGTTTCAGAGAAGGGAGAGGGAGAGATAGAAACATGCCTCCTGCACACCCCCCCCAGGAGATCGAGCCTGCAACCAGGGCATATGCCCTGACTATGAATTGAACCATAGGGTTCATAGGTCGATGCTCAACCACTGAGCCATGCCAGCCAGGCTGATATTTGATAATTTGAATCCAAGTTGGGGTTGTTGGGGGACACTTTGCTTGAAGTGTCATTTTTTTTTTGTAACTTGTTGATGTAATTCAAGCTTATAGAACAGTATAAAGAACCACTCCTTTATTCCTTTTACTCAGCTTCACCAATTGTTAGCATTTTGTTCTACTTGCTCTGTCATTTTTGGTATGCTCATTTCCTCCCCCTTTCTCCCTGTGTATGTATTCTGCACACATCCATGCATGTACACACATTTCCCCAAACATTTGAGAGTGAGTTGCAAACATTCTGTTTCTTTATTCCTGCATACTTCAGTGTGTGTTTTCTAAGAACAAGAACATTCTTTTACATAACCACAGTACAATTTTCAAAATAAAGAAATTTAATGTTGATACACTACCATTATCTGTACAGTACTTAGATTAATTCAACTGTCCTTACTATGTCCTTTATCACCCCCACCACCACCCCCGGTCCAGGATCCAAATGGGGACCTTGTATAGCACTTGCTTATCTTTCCTTTTGTCTCCTTTAATCTGGAACAGTTTCTCATCCTTTCTTTCTCTTTTATGACCTTGACATTTTTTTTTAGGATTAGAAGACAGCTATTTTTTTAAAAAAATTCTTTATTAGTTAAGGTATTACAAATGTGTCCTCATCCCCCCCCATTAACCCTCTCCCTCCCCCCCGCATACTCCTGCTCTCATCCCCCTGTTGTCCATGTCCATTGGTTTGGCTTATATACATAAAAGTCCTTCGGTTGATT